ATATGTCGCCGACTTTCTTCTAAGAGTAGGAGGGTTCTCAGTTTCTTACCTCATGGTCAAGCCCTCTGCCCTTACTTTTCACTTCGTTCCCCCAGTGTGGTTCCACCTCCTCCTAGATCTTCCGTTCGGCCCCGAAGAAGTCAGAATCGGGTCCCCCCGCATGGGTCCCGCTTATCCTCGTTCTCCTGCTCGGCGGGTCTGGTCGTGGCGATGAGAAGCCCTCAGGAGGCTCAGAAAGGACGACCCCCTAACGTCCTCCCTCACATCTCTGAGATCCGACTTCCCGAACCATCTGGGTCATAGCGACAACTCATGATTGCAACCCTGGACGCCGTCTTTTGCGTCATGCTTCCAGCTGGATCGATCTGGGACGGCCCAAGGCCCGAGTCTGGGCCCAACTCTGAGCGAAAACGCCCGCGGCCAAGAAATTGCAACGCCCAGATCTCAGTCTCGTCCTCCTTCACCTCCTGCTCCATGTTCTAGATGAAGTATTCATAAAGAGGGGAGGGGACTTGGCCTTCCGACGGACCTTGTCCACGTCCTCCTCCTCTTTTCCTCCTCCTCCTCCTCTTCCTCTTCTCCTCCTCCCCCTTCCCCTCCACCCGTTCCGACAGCACGTGCCCAACCTCTCCTACATATTCGGGGGGAGGGCGATGATTGTCCGTTCCGGGGTGCCGTCGTTCCTCGGCCAAGTCCCCTACGACCCCCCCCGGGGGTCCATCGTGACTTTTTTTCGAGGCGGGCCCAGCCGTGGCGACGTCCAGAGTACAGTCAAGCCGCAGAGTATGGAGGAGCAGCTTCCCACGGCAGCCCTTGCATCCTTGCCCCTTTGGTCCATCCTCGTCGATTTTCGCAGGCCAGCCCCGTTCGAAAACGCCAACATGCACCTTTGCCACGCATCCTTATGATGATACTTGACTGTTCACGCCACTTGCTTCAAATAGGTATTTATGGTTTTTCATATCCCAATCTACTTCAAGCTCCCTCCTACTTCAAGAACCTATCTGCTTTTATGTTTTTGGCTTCTTCCATGGGCGGGCCCGAGCCCTATCTATTTTATCTGCCTTCCTACTTTATTTTTCAACAAGCTTCTCCGGACTGGCAGGTACCACTCCTTGGAGGGCCCCGGAAACGGCAGGGCTTTCTTGTCACCGTTTCTGAAAAAGTGTTTCTTGAAAGTGAAGGCGGTAAAAAAAACTGCTACCGGAAACGGCCACAAGAAACGGCCCTGGAGCTGGAACCGGGACCGGAGCTGGGAAAACACCGGCGACGGAACCGGAAATAGAAAACGGCACCGGAAGCGGCACAGCACGGCACATCGGAACGGGTAAAAAAGCGGCCGTGGTCGTTTCCAGGGCTTTTTAAAAGGACCGCTCCCCTTCGCTTCTTGCCTCCCCCCCCGGCCATGCTGGCGCCCGGCGGCGCCCCCACCGCGCCGCGCGCTGGCGACGGCCCCGCCCCCGGCGGCCGCCCGCTGCGCAGCGGCCCCCTCGGCGGCGGTCCGGCGCCGGGCGGCGGCGTGGCGGCGCTTCTGCGCGGCGGCGCGGCGCCGAACGGCGCCAGCGCAGGCGCCTTTCGTGGGCGCAACTCGGCGGCGAACCCGCCGGGAGATCCTAGATGGGGGGAGCTGCGGCAGGCGGGGGAGGAGGAGGCGGGAAGCTTCGGGTTCGAGGTTCGAGGTCTATGGACGTTTTCGTCGGCTCTCGAAGGTTCTGCAGCCTCGGGGTGCGTTCCAGCGGCTGCGCCTCGGCGAGAGCGTTTCGGGGGTGCCGGGATCGTCCCGAACGGCCGCCGGACGCCCGAGGTATGACGCCACAACCGAATTCGGCAGCCAGCGAGGGGAGTGAGAATTGGGGACTTCCAGATGGGGTCGGAGTAGACGGGGTCGGAGCATCGGAGCATCGGGCCGCATCGTCGACGTCGCCCGTGCATCGACGATGCATCGCCGGTGCATCGCCGGTACATCACCGCTGCATCGCCGATGCATTGCCGATGTATCGGCGATGCGGCGCGATCCTCCGACCCCGTCTACTCCGACCCAATCTAGGAGGTCTCGAGAGAAGGGGCGGGCCTTCTCAGAAGGCTCGGAAGTCCCCCGGCCTTCTGAGAAGAAGCTTTCTAAGCCCTCCCCGCAGACACAGAAAACTTCTCAGAAGGCCAGAGGTGTTCTGGGAAGGTCCGCCTTCTGAGAAGACCTTCTCCTTCTCGCTTCCCCCCCTTCGCTCGTCGCCAGCATCCAGGAGGGAAAAATCTACATCAGCACAGCAAAGCGTTGCTTTTCCCATGACAGTAGGGGAAGCTATCGGAAATGGGTGGGGAGATGGGAATCCGGGAGACATATAGAGAAACATAGAGCATCCTGGAATCTGCGTCGATTTTGTAGTGACCCCTGGGGCCTCTTTCAACATATCCGTATCTGCGGCCTCGCGGGCTAGGCACCCGGGCCGCGGCCCCACGGATGCGGGGCGTCTTCTCGCGGATGCCCCGCGCGGAGCGTAGCTGTACGACCGCGCTCGCGCCCCCGAATCCAGACCGCGAGGGCGCGGATACGGATAGGTTCGCCGCTGTGCGCCTCTCAGTCGGCAGGTCATTGGGCTCAGTGCAAGCGGGGCTCAGCCAGAGCTTCTGGTCCTGCAGGGGCCGCTCGTGGCTGCCGAGGTGGCCTCGCAGATTGGCTCAGCAGGATTTGGGAAGCCCCCCCCTCAAATCTGCATCGCGTTTTTTTCCGAACTGGTTGGGGCAGGTTTGCGCTGAGCAGGGTCAGTCTTGGCTATGGAGAGGACCCCTCGCGTCGTGAAACATGAAGGCATGTTGTTATTGTTGTTGCTGTTGATGTTGCTGTTGTTGTCGTTGTCGTTGTCGTCGTCGTCGTCGTCGTCGTCGTCGTCGTCGTTGTGTTGTTGTTGTTGTTGTTGTTGTTGTTGTTGTTGTTGTTGTTGTTGTTGTTGTTGTTGTTGTTGTTGTTGTTGTTGTTGTTGTTGTTGTAGTTGCTTGTGTTTGTGCTTGTGCACGTAGGTTCTCTTCTTCTCCTCCTCCCTCATATTTTTCCCAGATCTCCGACGATCTGTTTCTTCAATCCCAGCGTTTGGCCGTTTTATCGGGGCCTGGGACCGTCAAACATGGATCCGGAACTAAAAGCAGTCGGGTCCAGCAGGGGGGGAGAGGAGGAGGGGAGAAGGGAGGGGGAGGAGGGGGAGGAGGAGGAGGAGGAGGAGGAGGAGGAGGCGGAGGAGGAGGAGGAGGAGGAGGAGGAGGAGGAGGAGGAGGAGAAGGAACATCATATTGGCGGATGGCAAAGGTTCATTTGTCAAGGGTAAGTTTTTTTTCTCTGGGGGCCCTCCTCCCCGGGCCCCATGGCCGTCACAGAGCAGCCCAGGACGGACATGTAGGCCTCCCAGATGGGGTCCGAGCAGGAGGAGGAGGAGAAGGAGGAAAATGAGGATGGGGAAGGGGAGGGGAGGGGAGGGGAGAATGAGGAGAGGATGAGGAGGAGAGGAGGAGGATGAAGTTAAGTAGGAGGATCGCACCGCATCACCGATGCATCGGCGATGCGGCTCGATGCGGAGCCCGATCTTCTCCACGCGGACTGCGCCGATGCATCGCCGGTGCATCGCTGGTACACCGCTGGTGCATCGGCGATGCGGCGCGATCCTCCGACCCCATCTACTCGGACCCCATCTGGGTGGCCTCTAGGAAGGCCCAGCACCCGCGGGGGAGGAGGAGGAGAAGGAGGAGAAGGAGGAGGAGGAGGAGGAGGAGGACCAGTGTAAACTCAAGACTGATCAACGATATTCTCCTAAACCCTTCCTCCAAGTCCCTCCTCATAGGCACCTGCAAGGTTCATTTCACTGAGGGAAGTGCCCCGTTGTAAAACAAGCGTTGAAGCATGAACACCACTCCTGGGATCGTCAACGCCGCGAATCACCGTTACTGTCGCGCTGACGATCCTGAATCGTGCCAGAACGCCAGTCCTCGGACTCCAGCACCACGAATAAACGTGACTGTTGCGCCCTGACATTCCGACATCGTGACAAGACACCATTCCTGGGGCGTTGGCAGTGAGAACCCTTACATTCCGACATCGTGACAAAACGCCATTTCTGGGACGGAAACAGCGAGAGCCCCTGAAACCGATGCAGACTCTTAGGACGAATGTGCGCGGCGTTGGGGCGAGAGCCGCACTTTGAACAGGAGCCGCCCTCCGTCCGTGCAGCTCCTGCACTTTTCAAGGACGAACGTGCGCGGCGTCAGGGCGAGGGCCACGCTGTGAGAGCGGGCCGCCCTCCGTCCGCGAGTGCATTTTTTATAGCGAATTGTGCGCCGTGTAAGGCGAGGGCCACATTTTGAGAGCGGGCTGCCCTCCATCCGTGAAGTTATTTTATAGCCTCGGGGACACGAACATTGTATAATTTATGATGGTTTGTGGCTTCGGATGCGCGAATATCGCGTAACTTACAAAGGGTTTATGGCCTCGGGGACGCGAATCTTATGTAAGTTACATGGGTTTATGGCCTTGGGGGGCGCGACTATTTTGTAATTTAAGAGGGTTTATGGGTTCGGGGGACGCGAGCTTCGTGTAGTTTTACGTGTCCCACGGCCTTCCGGGAAGTCTGCGAACCCTGGACGGGCGTGGTAAAGTGCGATTTTTCGGCTCCCCCCCTCGCGCGTTCAGTAACAATGAACAGTAGAAAGCAGAAAGTAGAGCCATCACATTGTAAACTGGAAACCGCAACTGGTGCAGGGAGCAGCAAACCTTCGCCCTACAGCCTGGTGGCCCCACAGGGGGGCCGGCGGATTTTGCAGGACGGATGTGCGCCGCTGCAGAGATCGGGCACCGTCGGATTCTGTGTACGAAGCCTTTTGGCCCGAGAGGCTTTCGGCTTGATACGGACTGAGAAAAGGTTCATCAGTTTCCCTCTTCATGGTATTGCGGAGCCTGGTTGGGTCCTCGGTCTGAGAGACCGCCGGGGAGATCGCTGGCTGGCTAGACGCGGCACGAGATGGCTACCAACGAGGAGCTGTTCCGCCAGATGCAGGCCCTGACCGCGGAGGTGCAGAGGCTGAGCGAGGAGAACGCTCGACTGCAGCGCGAGCAGCAAGGCGGGCTCCAGGCCATCCCGGCCCTCGTGGATGCGGTGACCCGCCTGACGGGTAGGCCCGACCAGTTCCAGAGGCTCGTCGACACGAAAGGGATCGGCAAGCCCTCGGTGTTCGACGGGTCGGAGGCCAAGTACCGCACCGCGAATGGGCTGCCAAGTTCGAGTCGTTCGTAGTCGGAGTCTTCGGCGAGCAGTTCAGGGCAGTGCTGGAGTGGAGCGTCGAGCGGCACGACTCGATCGATCGCGGGCTCTGGCAGGCGGCTTTCGGGCCGCACAGCGAAGGCGAGATCGACCACATCGACGAGATGGTGGCGCAGCTGCACACGGCGATCCAGCAGCTCGTGACGGGCGAGCCCTTCGACATCACTCAGAACGTCGACAAGGGCAACGGGCTCGAGTGCTGGAGGCGCCTCGCGAGGAGGTTCGACCCTTCCACCGGCGGGCGGAAGCGGAACTTGTTGAAGCAGGTGCTCTCGCCCGGGCGCTGCAAGCTCGATGAGCTCGCGGGTGCCCTGGAGAGGTGGGAGGAGGCCGTGAAACGGTACGAGTCCAGGAGGGGCGACGACGGCAACCGCGAGCGGCTCTCGGACAGCGTGCGGATGTCTGCCTTGGAGAGCCTGCTACCAGCTGAGCTCGAAGAACACGTTCTTCTCAACCAGAGCCGCCTGAACACCTACGAGCTGCTCAGGAGGGAGATCGCGTCGTACCTGGAGGCCAGGACCGGTGCTCGACTTCGAGACGCCCCGGTGCTCACCAAGGCGCAGCGCGACCCCAACGCCATGGACATCGGCGCCCTGGTCCGCGCGTACCAGGGCGGGAAGGCCGGCAAGGACAAGGGCGGCAAGGGCAAGACGGGCACTGGCAAAGGCAAGGACGACAAAGTCAAGAAGGGAGGTAAGGGCTCAGGCCCAGGCTCAGGCAAGGGGTCTGACACGTCCCACCTCGTCTGCTGGAACTGCGGGCGTTCGGGGCACAAGAGCTCGGACTGCTGGAGACCGTCGGCCTCGGCGGAGGTGATCGCCAAGGCTAAGGCTAAAGCCAAGGGCAAGCAGAAGCCGAAGGGCGGCGGCAAGCACGACGCAGGCGCGCTGGACGTCGGAAAGTCCGAGGAGGAGGCCCCGGGCAACTGGGAGCCAGAGGACCACATGTTCTTGGAGCTGTTCTCCGCCGAGCGCGAGGAGAGCGCGAAGGAGGTGAACGGGGGGATCGTGGGCGACAAGGGCTGGGTGAAGGTCAACTTCGACAGCGGATGCGCGAGCTCGGTGATCCCCCGCGAATGGACTCCAGCGACTTCGGCCCCTTCGAGTCAGAGGTTCAAGACGGCGAGTGGTGGTATCATCGCAGACGAGGGCGGCGGGGTGCTGGAGGGCGTCAACGAGAATGGCGCCAGGATGCGCCTCGCCGGGCGCAGGGCTGCTGTTACCAAACCCCTCGTCTCGGCCAGCGAGATGCTCAAGAAGAGGATCGGCATCCTGGACGAGAGCTGCGGCATGGTGATCGAGAAGGGTTCCACTGCCGGACGGGCGATCATGAAGCTGGTCGCTAAGCTCAAGGAGACGGGAGCGCTGGAGAACAACATCAGGTTGCACCAGGAGCGCGGGGTGTACAACGCCTACCTGAAGTTGCCGGAGGAGAAGGCCAGGGAGCTGGAGCAGTTGCCGCTGAACACGATCGAGTCGGAGCTGGCCCATCGCCGAGCCGAGGCGGATCTACTCGCTCGAGCACGTGCAGGGCTTGCTTCGCCGGCCCGGCCTCCCGCCTTGCAGGCGTCGGGGGGCAGCCGGCGGGTGCCGCCGTAAGCCCGAGCGCGCCGCCAGCAGCCGGGCAGCTGGCAGGAGGCGCGGAAGCCCCGGTGGAGCAGCGAGGAGGGCCGCTGCCCCAGGAGGAGGAGGCTCGAGAGCAGCGCGGCAGGCCGCCGCGGGTTCGGCTGGCTAGGAGTCCAGCCCAGCCGACCGCTCTCGAGATCGAGGAGCACGAGGCGCAGGGCCACGTCCTCTTCAGGTCCTGGTGCCCTTCGTGCTGTGCATCGCGTGGGACTGGCCAAGCGCATCGTGGACATCAACCTGCTGAGGGAGAGGTCCCTACGGTCGTCACCGACTACGGCTACCTCAACGCTAGCGAGTCGGACAGCAGAGGCCGCGACGCCAGCTCTGCGATCACGGTGTTGGTGATGCACGACTGCTTGCCGAGCGGGACGGGCTGCTACGGCGCGAGCTCGGTCCCGGCCAAGGGGAAGGGCGACTTCAGCTCGAGCGTGGCGGTCGACTTCTTCAATCACATCGGCCACAAGAGGTGCATCTACCAGTCGGACGGCGAGAACCCGCTGCTGGCGCTCAAGAGGGACGTCTGCAGCAAGGCCGAGGGGAAGGAGCTGCTGCTTCGCGAGAGCCCGGTGGGAGAGCACCAGGCGAATGGAGCAGCCGAGAACGCGGTGAAGGTCATCAAGGGCGTCGTCAGGACGGTGCTGGTGTCGGCCCAGGCCAAGTGGAAGCAGCGTCTGCCGTTCGGGCACCCGCTGATGCTGTGGGCCCCCACCTATGCGGCCCAGATGCTGAATAGGTTCAAGATCGGCGACGACGGCAAGACGAGTGAGCAGAGGAGGTCTGGCAAGCGCTGGGAGAAGGTGACGGTTCCCTTCGGCGAGCGCATCCAGGTGAAGAAGCTGGTGAAGGACTCGCTCAAGCGCGACCTGGGACCCTGCTGGGTCACGGGCTACTGCGTGGGCCACACCAGCAGGAGCGGCACGGCGCTGGTGCTCACCTCGAAGGGGGTGCAGCGCGGCACGGCGATCTCACGCCTGCCGCCCGCCGAGCGCTGGGCCTGGAACCTGGAACGAGGAAGAGGTCCTCGGGCTCAAAGGCAAGCCTTGGGACTGGAAGGGCGGCGAGGAGCGCTACGCGGCAGCTCCGGCGGACGTCGCCCCGAGAGCTGGGCGCATGGATGCGCCAGTGGTGGCGGCGCTGCCAGCAGCCGCCGAGCCGCGAGACGTGGGCTTCTACGTCACCAGGGCCAACATCCTGGACGCGGGCATCGGGCCGACCGAGGGCTGCGTCGCCTGCGAGAACCTGGTGGCTACTGGGCGCGCAGGAGTTGCCCACTCGGAGCTGTGCCGACAACGCGTGATCGAGGCGCTGGCGGCTCGAGGTGATGAGCGACTTCGCCGGTTCAGGGAGGTGGAGGCAGCTGAGGAGGAGCAGGCGAGAGGAGGCGAGGCAGGCCGGGCGGCGCCAGGAGCCGCCGCCGCCGCTCCGTCTTCCCCACCAGCCCCGAGAGACCTCGAGGGCAGGAGAGGCGCGAAGCAGGCGCGGGCGGATCCGCCGCCCGTGGGGTCTTCGGCGCCGCGCGTCAGGAGGCGTGAGGAGGAGCAGCCGCCCCAGGAGGCGCGTGCAGCCCCCCAGCCTATGGCGGTGGACCTTCGGGGCGCGGCCCCGAGGCCAGCAGGAGGAGGTGCAGGAGCGCCGCTCGCGCTCCCTACGCCGGCCGGGTTAACGTCACCCCAAACGGGCCCTGGAGGCCCGGCGCCAGCACCCGCGGCGGCTTCGGGCTCGGGAGGCCCGGCGCCGGCGGCGGCAGCACCAGGCCCAGGAGGCGCTGGACCTGCTGCCATGGAGACGGGCGGACTCGAGGAAGTGCCGCTCGAGTTGCAGTCGCTCGCGTTCTCGGAGTACTGCAACCCAGGATGCTTCACTGAGCTTGCTGGGGAGTTTGGCATGCTCCCAGGGCTAGCGGCGGACATCAGCCTCAAGGACCGGGAGTCTCAGGAGGCGCTGGACATGAGGAAGATCGTGAACCAGCAGAGGTACATGCAGGCGCTCGAGGACCAGGACCCCTACTTGGTCATCGGGGCGCCGCCCTGCACGCGCGTCTCGAAGCTGACGAGCTTGAACCGCGGCAAGTACAAGGACCCGGAGGCGCACGCCAAGGCCGAGGAGGACGATCGTGCGTTGCTTCGCTTCGGGATGGAGGTCTACAAGGATAGGCACGCCAAGGGCAGGTGGTTCTTGCACGAGCACCCTTGGGACGCCAAGTCGTGGGACGACGAGGCGGTGAAGGAGGTGGTCTCGCTCCCGGGGGTGTACCTCGTGCGAGGGGACATGTGCGCCTGGGGCCTAGAGCTCAAGGGCGACGACGGGAAGGTCGGGCCGGTCAAGAAGAGCACCGGCTGGCTGACCAACAACGAGCGCCTTGCTAAGGTGCTAGCAGTCTGTTGTCCTGGAGGACATCGACACGTACCGCTACTTGGCGGAGGCCGTGCTAGGAAGGCGCAGTCCTACACGCCTTCGCTACGCCGCGCGATCTTGCAGGGGCTCAAGGAGGAGCTCGAGATCGCGGGCGAGATCAACTCGTTCGAGGGCGTCGGGCCGGTGCCAGACGAGGAGGCGCAGTACTTCAAGCCAGACGCCCCTCCAGGTGCAGCGGAGTCGGACAAGTGGTACTGGGGCGACGTCAACGGGGGCTGGCTCGACCCTGCGGGAGTACGGGCCGCGCGCCAGGAGGAGCTGGCCTGGATGAAGCATCGCGAGGTGTTCGAGCCGAGCGACGAGGAGACCTGCGGGCGCCTGACCGGTCGGGCGCCGCTACGGACGCGCTGGGTCGACACCAACAAGGGCGACGAGCAGAGGCCAAAGTACCGCTCCAGACTGGTCGCGATGGAGATCAAGGCTGCGAAGAAGGCGTCCGAGCAGATGAGCGCGAGCGAGCTCTTCAGCAGTACGCCGCCGCTGGAGGCGGTCAAGCTCCTGTGCTCGCTCATGGTCTCGATGGGCCGCTCGCCCCGAGGACTCCCTCTCAAGATCGGCTTCTGGGGCGTCAGCCGGGCGCGCCTGTACGGGGACGCCCAGAGGGTCTTGTTCGTTCGTCTTCCGGAAGAGGAAGGAGGAGGAGTCGCTCGCCTGCTACGTTCCATGTATGGTACTCAGGGCGCGGCTTCAGTGTGGCAGAGCGACTGGAGTCGACAGCTCTTGGAAGATTCGTGGCGCATGGGCGTGGCAAGCCCAGCTGTGTTCTATCGTTCCAGTGATGAAGGTCGCGGGTTGGCTCACGGCGACGACTTCATGGTGCTCGGCGACGAGATCACGCTGAAGGAGATCGAGACGAAGCTGACCGAGCGCTACGACATCAAGTGCACCGGGATCTTGGGTCCCGACAGCGGGGACGCGAAGGAGGTCGTGTTCCTCAACAGGGTGTTGCGGTACGTTGACGGCTCCACCCCGGCGGTGGAGATCGAGTCGGACCAGAGACACGTGGAGCTGCTGATCAAGGAGCTTGGCCTCGAGAACGAGTCGAAGGGCTTGGACGTGCCGTCGGTCAAGAAGACGGAGGCGGACATCGACTACGAGGCAAAGCTCAGCACGCTGCCCCTGGACGAGGTTCGCCGGTATCGAAGTGTAGTGATGCGTGCTGCCTACCTCACCTTGGACAGGCCAGACATCGTCGTCGCGGTCAAGCAGTGTGCGAGGCGCATGCAGGCGCCGACGTCAGCGGACATGATGATGGTCAAGAGGCTTGGGAGGTATCTCGTCAAGCACCCGTGCCTGGTCGCGAGGTTCAACAAGCAGAAGATGCCTGACAAGATCACGGCCACCTGCGACTCGGACTACGCGGGCTGCCTCATCACCAGGAAGTCGACGAGCGGGACCGTCCTGGCGTTCGGGGAGCACACGCTGTCGGCTACGGGCTCGCTGCAGAGCACGGTGCCCCTTTCGAGCGGCGAAGCCGAGTACTACGGCATCCTCCGTGCGGCTGCTGCCGCGCTCAAGGTTGCTGCCATCGCCGTGGACCTCGGGCTCGAGAAGAGCGTCGAGGTCGTCTGCAATCACGGGGAGTTCCCGGTAGAGGTCTGCGGGGACTCAACGGCGGCGATCGCGTTCGCATCGCGCCAGGGCCTGGGTCGTCAGAAGCACGTGATGACGAGGTACCTGTGGCTCCAGAGCGCGGTCAAGGCTAAGAGGATCAAGCTCAAGAAGGTCGACACACGGGAGAACGTGGCCGACTCCTTGACCAAGCCGTTGTCGGCGAAGGTGGTCCAGAAGCATCTCAAGAGGATGGGGTACCACTTCAGGTCGAGGTGGAGCGCCCTGCACCGGACGATCGCCAAGAGATCGGCGACGTGAGGTTCATGAGCGGGGTGCTGTGCCAGCTTTTCGTGATGGGCACGTTGCCCGTCCCACCATTTTCCTGTCGCTTCGCGACGCTTGCACGACCGGCCTGTGCGGCGAGACGGTGCCTGGTGGTGGCTGCCTAGCTTAGGGGCTAGTTGCCAAGGAGGAGTGCAGAGATCGGGCACCGTCGGATTCTGTGTACGAAGCCTTTTGGCCCGAGAGGCTTTCGGCTTGATACGGACTGAGAAAAGGTTCATCAGTTTCCCTCTTCAGCCGCGCTAAGCTGTTGCAGAAACGCAGGCTTCAGGATCAGAAGTGGTAAGGAGATCTCTGGCGACGTGCCTGCCCCGCCCCTTCGATCGGCCTCGGGGTGCGACCAGGAGGAGCGAGTTGTTTGTATACGGCAGAGGGGTGGAGACCCTCTGGGGAGCCGCGCCGAGAGCGGAGCGCACGACGTCGGATGTTCTGGCGGGGGGGGTGGGCCGGGAGGCCACGGCCGGGGCTGGGCCGCCCCTCACGGCGGCGCTGCCTTCGGCTGCGGTGCCCGCCGGGGCGCCCCAGTCTCAGAGGAGGGGAGGAGACTTCGATCATCGGAGGCGACGATAGGGGCCAATAGTCCAGGGGAAAGCAATACATGCATCCAGTGGCGCCAATGATTCATGCCTTCGGCGAGGCTCCTGGAGGAGTACGTGTGATGCCCTTCGGATGCAATTCCTGGGAGGTCAAATTCTTATTTTGCCCTGGCCCGAAATCTCGCTTAATCCGGTTTAATCCGGCTTAATCCCGTTTGATCCCTCTTAATACCGCTTAATCCCGCTCAATCCCGCTTAATCCCGCTTAATCCCGTTTAATCCGAGGCCCACTTTGGCGTAACAGCTCCCAAATGGGGCTTAATCCTCCTTGCTCTTTCCGACGAAAACCTCCCAGTAGTTGCCTCCTAGATGCCCGCCTGTGGGCTACTCGCCCGTACCGTCGCCTCCGAGATACCGGCTGCTCGTCGCTCGTCGCAACGGCTTGCTTCGCCTCGGTCAGGCGGCGCTGTCGGTGGCGCTGCTCTCAGATATCTGCTTTGCCCGCTGGGGTGCCCCAAGCTCACAGGAGAAGGTGCAGGCAAGTTGGGAACAGTTGCCGGGGCCAGCCCTTCACTGTTTCTAGCCCCGGCCAGTTACCCCTCAGTTTCTCCAGACCTGGCGGTCTCGTCCCAACTCCTTCGGGCTCGTTTCAGCCCCTGCCAGTTTTTCTGGCCCTGGCCATTTCCACTTCTCGTGCCTTTTGCAACTTCCACTTTTTCCTGCTTCTCCGCGCCGATACCGATGCCCGTCCCTCGTCGCCCCGGCTGGATTCTCTTGGGAGTCCTGGTCAGAGCGCCCCCCAGGAGAGGTCCAGCGGTCTAGCGGTGTATGGGTACCCCGTGGCTCCCTTCCCCCAAGCGCGGGCACCTGCCCCCCCCCGTGTGCCGAATGGGCATGGGGTTGTGGAGAGCCTCCTCCTGCCGTGGGCAACGCGCTCCGCCCGCGGCGGCAACCCTCCTTCCTCCTCTCAGGAGGGGAAACACACACACAGACACAAGTCATCGTCGACTCCCAGGAAAATATGGGACAATATGGGATGGGGGGGGGGGGGAATATTACCCCAGTGCGACGCTACCTAGAAGTTGGAACCCCTAGGAAAGAAGCAGCATTAGTTGCTATGTTATGCTATGCTATGCTATGCCATGCTATGCTGCGCTATGCTATGCTATGCTATGCTATGCTATGCAATGCTATGCTGCGCTATGCTATGCTCTGCTATGCTATGCTATGCTATGCTATGCTTTGCTGCTATGCTATGCTATGCTATGCTGCGCTGTGCTATGCTATGCTGTGCTGTGCTGCGCTATGCTATGCTGTGCTATGCTATGCTATGCTATGCTATGATGCGCTGTGCTATGCTGTGCTGGGCTATGCTATGACATGCTGTGCTGCGCCATGCTATGCTACGCTATGCTATGCTATGCTCTGCTATGCTATGCTAAAGCTCAGCGACGCTAAGATGAAGGTAAGCTAAGCTAAGATCAACCTGAGCTAAGATGAAGCTAAGCAAAGCTAAATTGAAATAAGCTAGGATAAGATGAGACAAGCGACGCTAAGGGAGCGTAACTGGGGGAACCGCGGGGCGGATGCCGGGGGAACCGCCCGGGGCGAGCCCCACTGCCCGGCCCTTTAAGCACATAGAGTAAGAACCTTCTAGGCAGAGCCTAGGTAGGGAACAACAACCCAGAAAACATGGGAAATTTGGATTCCCCGGTTATTCGTGTCTATTTATTTGTGTGTCCCAGGGCCCCTTCCTCCTCGCCCTTCCCCTCGCTCCCGGGGTCGGGCGACGAAAATCTATACGCATCCACTGCCCCCTGGCCGGGCCCTTCCTGGGTCAAGCAGCTGTGTGTAGGCCCTCCTGGCCTGGCCAGGATGGCGTGGTGTATGCACCGCTGCTGATCTCAGGATGGGCATGGCCAGGGAGCAGTGGATACATCTATATATATATATATATATATATATATTTGTGTATCTTTACACTTGAATACATATCTCTCTCTCTCTCTATATATATATATATATATATATATATATAGATCTGTATCGATTGCGTCGCCCTACCCTAAGGAGCGTGGGGGAAGGGCGAGGAGGAAGGAGGGTTGCCGCCGCGGGCGGAGCTCGTTGCCCACGGCTTGCCCAGGGAAGGAGACGGGGGGGAGGAGAAGGGGGCGGAGAAAGAGCTTTTTGTTGACCTTCGCCTCGTGGGGAGGAGGAGGAGGAGGAGGAGGAGGAGGAGGAGGAGGAGGAGGAGGAGGAGGAGGCGGAGGAGGAGAAGGAGGAGGAGAAGGAGGAGGCGGAGGACGCGGAGGAGGAGGAGGAGGAGGAGGAGGAGGAGGAGGAGGAGGAGGAGGAGGAGGAGGAGAAGGAGGAGGCCAGGGCGCAGTGGATACGTATAGATCTCGTCGCCCTATAGGGGGGGGACCGCGGCGGGGGGGTGCGAGGGACTTTTCTGGTCGGCCCTGCCAGGCCCGGGCCGTGGTCTCGGCGGCCCCGCGGGGAACTCGCGCGGCGCTGGCCGCCGCAGCACCTTTAGCAGCGCCCAGGGCGGCCGCGGGGCTCAGAAGAGTTTGAGCAGGGGATCGACCACAGAATTGATTGACCCCGGAATGGATTTTTCTCGTCGAGTCCACGGACATTGCGTAGAACGTGCGTAGACCTCCGAGCATTCCACGCAGTTCTGATGAAGGTCCGACGTGGAAACCAGGCGTGGGGGAAATCCATGTTGTGGTCGATCCCCCATTCGAAGAGTTGTGCGGCCCAGCCTGGTCAGTCAGTGGACCCTGCGAGGTCAAGGGTGCCCCGGCTCCACTGACTGACCAGGTTGGGCCGCACCACGCCGGCGCATTATTTTTTAATATTTTTATTCCTCTTTCTCCTCTTCCTCTTCCTCTTCTCCTCCTCTTCCTCCTCCTCCTCCCCTTCCTTGTCTTCCTCAGCGTGCTGTCTATCACGCTTCCCCGTTCTCTTCGCGCGTAGAGCCCCGGCTGCCCTCGGAGGAGGCCCGTGGCCTCTCGGGTGCCCTCCGCAGTCGGTCCCGGCGGTGTCCGTCGGCGCCTGGAAGGGGGAGGGGGCAAGGAGGGCAACTGAGGGTCAAGGAGGGGAGGATTGAGTGAATGTCGAGGGCCGAGTAGCCAATACAGGTGCTTCTGTGTTTTGTTTGTTTCGGGAGGCTTCTCGTCGCAACCGCCGCGTTCCCAGAAGGAGTCCTGGCGAGTGCGCGTCTCAGGACCCATATCTCCCGACCCCTTCCCCTGGGGCAGCTGCGGATGCCGTCCGCTTTTTGAGAATGAGCGGCTGCCCAGCAGCGATCCCTGTCGGTTGGGGACAACGTCTGCTATTTGGCATCGTCTTCATTTTCTGCTCTCCCATGCTAGGTTCCAGATATGTCGAGAGGGAGGAGGAGGAAGAGGAGGAGGAGGAGAAGGAGGAGGAGGAGGAGGAGGAGGAGGAGAGATGGAGAAGGAGGAGGAGGAGGAGGAGGAGGAGGAGGAGGAGGAGGAGGAGGAGAGATGGAGAAGGAGAAGGAGGAGGCGAAGGAGGAGGAGGATCAGTGTAAACCCAAGACTCATCAACGATGTTGGAATACACCCTTCCCCCCGCGCCGTGTGCCCGCGCTCGGGACTGGCACGTGGCCGTGCGCGGCGAACGTGCGAGAGGAACCGCCGGATGCGGAGGAAGAGCGGGCGGAGGACGAAGGACGGAAGGCAGGGAGGGAGGAGGGAGGGGGGAGGATAAGCGGAGGAGGAAGAGGAGTAAGGATGGAGGAGAAGGAGGATGGTGAGGAGGAGGACGAGGAGGAGGGGGAAGAGGAGGAGGAGGAGGTGTAGGAGGAGGAGGAGGAGGAGGAGGAGGAGGAGGAGGAGGAGGAGGAGGAGGAGGAGGAGGAGGAGGACCTGGAGGAGTGGCGGGCGGGCAGCCACGTTTCCACTGCTCTGCCCAGGCCGCTTCGAGGGAGCTTCGGCGGAGGTGTCGTGGACGGAGCCAGAGCAGCACGAGAAGGACCGGGCAGTCCCGTTATGCCGGGCAATCTAACTCCTCCCCCTTCCCAGGCCTTCCTCGTGAAGTTGAGGACGGATGTGCAGAGGAGGGGGACGGGTGGTGGAAAAGGACTCAGGAGGAAACGCTGGCCTTCAGGAAGGAGTCCAGACCTTTGGTGATGCATGCTGTGATAAACATAACGACGCTTGATGTCTGGGGATGAAGGGGAGGGGAGGAAGCGGTGGGGTAGACAGCGGGTGAGGAGGAAAGCGTGAGAGGGAAAGGTTTTTTTTTGCCACTACTAGTCGCGGCTGGTAGTGGTGGTGGTCTTGGATTGGCGCTCCACGTCAAGCACGGTCAAGCAGTCATCGCAATCGCCGCCGCGCGGGTTTTGCAAGCCAACTTGCGCGTGGGGGGGATGCGCGAGCTGTGAAGTTGACAGCTTCAGTTTGAAAGTGGCGCGCCCTTCATGTTCGAACGCGTTGCAAACTCTGTAAACGAGCGGGCGCGGCGGGAACTCGAGAACCGCATTCTAGAATTGCCCCCGCCCTTCAGAATTGCGGCTGCTGCACATGTTGAAGACGAACGTGCGATTGCACCTGGCATCGCTCGGACGTGTGCATTTTTTTCTCGGCGAGGACCCTCGAGGAGCACCCTGGATCCTCGAGCCAAAAAGGCACGCACGAAACCGAAAAAAAGCACACGGAATGGACGTCCGAGCGATGGCGAGTGCACACGTCGAGCTCCGGGGCCCTCTGTGGCGAGGGAGGTCTCGCGCGAGACGCCGGGCGCGCCCCGCCGACGCGCCGAGGGGCGCGCAGGGGGGGGATTTGTTTTATGCCGAGAGTGGAGAGGGGAGGAGGGAGCGACGAGAGCTACTGCAGGGGCCCTGGGACACACAAATAGATAGGCACAAATCAGAGGATTCCCCGTATTGTCTGATATTTTTTTGGATTTTCTGGATTCCCCGTATTGTCTGATATCTTCTGGATTTTTTCTCCCCCCCCCCCCTCTTCCCATATTTTCGCGAAATTTCCGGGGCATCGACGATTCAATTGTGTGTTGTGGATGTGCTTCTGTCCCCTCCCGAGCTGCGCCTGGCCGCTGCCCCCGGCCAGGCCCAGTCTGCGCCCTGGCCCCGCGCGTGCTCCTCCCCGGCCAAGGCCAGGGGGGGCGGACGCGCCGCTGCCGGCCCGTGGCCGCCCGGGCCCACGCCGCGGCGGCGGGGGCCCGCGGCGGCTGCGGCGGGCGCGCGCGGGGCCCGCGCGCCGCGGCCCGAAAATAAAGGATACACAAAAGATACCCCCAAAAAGGTCGAACAAATACTCCCAGAATAGTCCCTGGAGTATTTTTGGACAATTTTATGACTATTTTTGGGGTATCTTTTATTTTTCGTCGAAAATCCCCCCGTAGGGGGACAGGCCCGACTTAACACTACTCGCAAAGTACCTACTCGCAGACGTACGAAAAACATAGGTTCGCTTCGATAGGATTTGTCGTAGATCCCTGGCGGCGTATCCAGGCCATTTGCGAGTAGCTACTTTGCGAGTAGCGGAGCGCGCTCGCCTGTGAAAGGCCTTTGGGGCGCTGCCAATCGCCCGAGCGGCGTTCGGGGCTGCCTTGGAAGACCTCGCCAATGCGGGAGGCCCGCGAGCGGCTGCGGCCAGAGTCGCATCCGCGGGGGGGGCCGCGCGAAGCGCCGCGGTGGGCGCGACCAGCGTGCAGCATTCCGTCGAAACCTTGGGCGACACGCATGAGATTCTGGACGCGCTTGGCGCCGAGAGATTGTTAGGCGGCGTGACGTTGCTCAATGACTTGGGGTGCCGCGACCTCGCGCGGCGCTGGGGCAAGCAGTCCAAATGGCGATTGGACGTGGCGCATCCTGGCGTGACGTTGCACGGCACGACGCGTTCTTCGAGGCTGCGGCCATGCAGTTGGGCGGTTCGGTCGCGGCAGCGCAACTGATGGGGCAGGCGCCGAAACTCCGCGACAAGGTTAGGAGAACGGATGTGCAGACCTTGGCATCGCTCGGACGGGTGCATTTTTCCTTCGGCGAGGACCATCGAGGAGCATCCGTGATCATCTGGCGAAGAAGCCACGCGCGAGACCGAAAAAACAAGCACAGGGAATGGCCGTCCGAGCGATGGCGAGAGGCGGCCCGCGGATCTCGAGGTCCTCGCCGAGGAGCTCCGGTCGGAGACTGTGTGCGCGGCGGAGGGAATTGACCGGGCCCGCGAGGGGGCGCGCGGGGGCTTCAGAAGCAGGTCTCCGGCACGGCGCGGGCGCGTCGTGCTGGTCTGATGGGGAGGGGCAGGGCGCAGCTGGGCAAGAACCTGTGGAGGTCGACTGATGGAGAGGAGGCATGCGGCCAAATAATCTTTCACCACCCACCAAACCACCCCAACCCAACCCGAAGGCCCCAATTTGCCGTCCATTTCCAGTGGGAGGGGGTCCAGGGAACATCGAAAAAACACGTATGGAACCCGTACCCCCCCCAACCCGAAATTCGGGTCTTCGGGTTGGGTTGGGGTGGTCTGGTAGGCCGTCAGAGGAGGTATGCGGCCAAATAATCTCCAGATGTCTACAAGATGCTTCGCGCATGTTTTACATATGTAAAAAACACATGGTTGAAGCATTGTTGGAGCATGCTTTACACACTTTGGACACATCTTTATCTGATCGCTTCGCTCATTCCGCCGGCCCGTATTGTGCCCTCGCTGGCGTTTGGGCTTTTGGGGGCCTTTTGGGGTTCTCGCTGGGGGTTTCTTGGGGGCTTCTTGGGTTTCTGTTGGAGCCTCTTTGGGGTTTCTTGGAGCTCCTTTGGGAGCATTTGGGAGCATCTTGGGGCTTCTGGGCGCCGCTTGGGGCCGAGGGCTCGATATGTCCGTTCCGGATAACACTTTGGGCCTCCTCTTTGGGGTCTTGGTGTCATCTTGGGCCGTGTCGGAGGCCTCTTGGGCCGTCTTGGAGGTCTCTTGGGCTGCCTTGGGGCGATATTGGAGGCTTCTTGGGCCGTCTTGGAGCGTCGGGGAGCTGAACAGGTGGGAATCAGCTGTTTTTGCTTCCTGGGGCTCTCTTGAGACGCTTCTTGGAGGCATCTTCGGGTGTCTTGCAGGCGTCTGCGGGCGTCTGGAGGCCATTTTGAGCGGTTTGGTCCGATCGGTCGGCGACTCGGGGCTCACTTGGACCATCTTGGGGTCAGTTACCGGAGATCTTCGCACGCCTCTGGCCCGTTGGGCCGCCGAATTTGGCCTCTCACCAAATCGCAGAAGTATCCCAGAATTTGGCCTCTCTCCGTAGACGGAGCGCTGTGCAGAAGCTTCCCAGAATTTCTTGATGCTCGCTGCCCATATTGTAGCATCGCTGGCGCTGCGTGGTCGGGGGGGCATTTGGGGGGCCTCCTGGAGCCGCTTGGGAGCTTCTTGGGGGCTCGTGAGGGCCTTTTGGGGGCCTCCTGGGGCTTCTTAGGGGCCTCTTGGCGCCTCCTGGAGGCTTCTTAGGGCTGAGGGCTCGAAATGTTGTTTCGTGTTCCCCCTCTGGGGCTTTTCTTAGAGCGTTCTTGGGGCCCTCTTGGGCCGTTTTGGAGGCCTCTTGAGGCCCTGTCGGAGGCCTCTCGGGCCTTTTAGGGCGATCTTGGGGGCCTTTTGGGCTGTCTTGGGGCGTCGCGATGCCGAAAAGGTGGGAACGCCAAAATCTCCCCAAGTTCTAGGGGAAAGCAATTCATTTTGCCTCTTAGGGCCCTCTTGGGAGTGCTCTTGAAAGCCTCGTGGGGCGTCTGGGGGCTATCTTGAGCGTCTTGGAGCGATCTTGTGGCATCTCGGACCCTTGGTGTACCATCTTGGGGGCCTCTTGGGTGCTCTTGGCTCTTCTTGGGACTCTCTCTTGGCCCTTCTTGGGACTCTCGGGGACGTCTCGGGGCCCTGTTGGTGCGCTCCTGGAGCTCTGGGGACTTCTCCCAGGACCTTGCCGGGGTACTTTTCGTCTGGGGACCCCCAGGGGCCGCCCCGCGCGCGCGAACTAGAACTACTGTGAACCAGTTATCGGAGATCTTAGCACGCCTCTGGCCCGTTGGGCCGGCGAATTTCAATGATGGGATTGTTAGAGTGTCCATTGTCATAGCATCCACAAGACAAGCACATGGCGGAGCAGGACGGGAACACGACCGAACGGCAGCAGCGGCTGGATTTCAACCAGGACGAAGCCGCGGGCGTGAAAGCCAATATCGAAGGCGTGTGCACGCAGCTTGCCAGGCTGAAGATCGACCAGGACAGGTTGTGGCAGGCGTTGAAAGACTTCGCGAAGGTTTTGATTTGCAGATGCTGAAGCCTTGAGGCTCTCCTTTCCCCTCTTGCGTAGGGGCGAACTTGGGCAAGGCATTGCGCTGGCAGTTGTTGGCCGTGCGTCGCAGGCATTTGCGCTGGGATGTTCGTCTGTTCCGTCGACTTCTTTCAAGCGGCGCACCCGCCGCCCGTGGGCCGTGGATCGGCCGAGCCAGGGGCCATGGATACGTGTTGATGGTAAGGGGATCGCTCTAGAGGTCCCCCCCACTTTCACCCCACCCTGTGTTGCTTACTGTGGCGAAGAAGCTTCCGAGAGCCGACGAGACCGTCCTACGAGTCCCCCTTCCTGACGAACCAACAACACACACCCATACCCATAGGGGTGTCGGAGAGGGCTATGGGTGCGTGTTGTCGGATGGAGGTCCCCGCTCGAACGGGAGCGTTCTTCAGGGTCCGACAACCCGCACCCATACCCATAGCCAGTCCTCCTCCCAACGACCCCCCTATGAGTATGGGTGTGTGTTGTTCGTTCGTCACTTCCTCGTTGGCGGTTCGGGGAGGAGGACCCCGCAGGACTCGGTGCTGCCCGCGCTGGCGGCGCTCCTGCGCGGCGGGCCCGGCCTCGGGCGCGCGTTGGCCGAGTGGTTCTTCGACGCCCTCTGCGCGAGCCAACACGCGGCTTCCGGGGCTGGCAGGCGCCGGCGCTGACAGCTGCCTCGTCGTCGTCGTCGTCGTCGTCGTCGTCTTCGTGGTGGTCGTCGTCGTCGTCGTCGTCGTCGTCGTCGTCGTCGTTTTCGACCTCGTCCTCGTTCTCGTCGTCGTCGTCGTCTTTCCCTCCATCCTTCCCCCCCTCTTCCCTCGATCGTCTCTCTCCTCCCTCCCCTTCTCTTTCCTTCTGACGCTGACGCTGCCCGCGTGAGTGTTGGTATCCAGTGCCGTCACCCACCGCCAGTGGCCGTTGCCTTTGGGGAGGGTGATCACCTCACCAGCGGCCCGCAGCCGCCAGTGAGGGCGCTCCTTCCTCCCTCCTCCCTCCTTCTCCCCCTCCTCCTCCTCCTCCTCCTCCTCCTCCTCGTCCTCCTCCTCCTCCTCCTCCTCCTCCTCCTCTTCTTCCACTTTCTTCCTCCAGGTAGTAGTCTTCATATCTTCGAGTACGGCTCGGTCCTGAAACATTTCAGCAGACCCGACACAGACCAGCTTCAGAGGGGTCCGTCCGTCCGTCCGTCCGCATTCCCTCTTCCTCTCCTTCCTCCTCTTCCTTCTCCAGCTAACCCCCCGCCTCCCTCCCCCCCGCCCTCCTTTGTGGTCGCTGCTGCGGGCAGGTTCGTCCTCAGGGACTGATGCCTCCTGCTGGCGCGGGCGCCTCCTGCTCCATGCTCGCTCCTCCTGCCCGGACAGCCGACCGCTCCGATTTCTGTCGATGTGTGGGCCCCGGAGGTTTGGGCCACTTCCCTGGGGCCGGTTTCTCGTCCCGCGTCGTTTCTCGACGCTCCCGGGGCCCAGCGAGGGCCCCTGGATCGGGGGTCGAAGAATGACATAAACATAAAAACTCGGAGGTCCGCGCGGATTTCTCGGATCCGCGCTGGAACCCCCTGGCGGCGCCTCCGGCGCCGCCCCGCGCCAGGGAGGGGGGTCCAGCGCAGATCCAAGAAATCCGCGCGGACCTCCGAGTTTTTATGTTTATGCCAGTTATCGTTCCCCTACTGGAGGCCGAAAACGGCCCACAACCGTCCGTTCCAATTTTTGTCGGAGCGTCGGATGCCTAGATTCCTCTCTACAGTGCCGTTTTTAATACATGCTCCGCGTGCGGATCATGTATTTAAAATGCAGGGATTTAGTATTGAAAGCAGCGATGAGTTCATGCATACATTTATTCATAAATTAATGATGTATCAAACATCCTATATTTTAGAAAATCCTATGTATTAAAATCTGCCCTCTAGACATCGAAGCCTTTGACAACATCAGGGCATAGTCTGTCGCCGTCTCTGCGGCCTCCGAGGGCCCTCCCCTCGGCGGGCCTCGGAGGCCGGCCCCGCGGGGCCTCCGGGGCCCCCGTTGGGGCCAGATCAAGATGTCTGGACTCGGGGTCCTACCTCCTCCTCCTTCCTCGTCGTCGTCGTCCTCCTCCGCCTCGTCCCTCCCCCTCCTCCCTCCTGCCTCCTCTCTCTCTCTCTCTCTTCCTCCTCCCTCCCACCTGCTCCTCCTCCTCCTCCTCCTCCTCCTCCTCCTCCTCCTCCTCCTCCTTCCCCTCCTCCTCCTCCTCCTCCTCCTCCTCCTCCTCCTCCCTCCTCCTCCCTCCTCCTCCCCCTCCTCCTTCCCCTCCCCACCTCCACCCGTCCCCACCTCTCCGTCAGCAGGCGCTGGAGCACGGGCGCCAGCAGGCTCCTCGACGCCGTGCCAGCGCGGGCGGCGCGCCCGGGGGGGCGGCGGGGGCGACCGCCTCCGAGAGGGCTCCCGCGGCCTCCCTGGGCAAATTCGGCTCGATGCTGTCCGGCACGGTGCGGCTCGATCCTCCGGCACCGGCCGGGGCCAGCTGGAGCGGGGTGCGGCGATCCGATTCCGATCCGATTCCGATCCGGCTCTGTGCAGGAGGGGAAAAAACACATAGACACAATTAATCGTCGATCCCAAGGAAAATATGGGAAATTATCCTGGCGAAGGACCCAACCATATGCAATTGTGAGTACCGCAATTGTGAATATCTTCTTCGGTGGAGCCCCTCTACGGGGCCACGAAACGTACGAGGGGTGTGCCGAAATGGGTGTGCGGAACGCATGCGGCCACACCCACTGGGGCCTTCGGTGGAGCTCCCTATGGGACCACAAAACGTGCGAGGGGTCACGAAACGCGTGAGTGGTGTGCCGACATGGATATGCGGGACGCATGCGGGCACACCCACTGGGGCCTTCGGCAGAGCTCCCTTTGGGGCCACGAAACGTGTGAAGGGTATGCCGAAATGGGTGTGCGGGACTTATGCGGGCGGCAGCACTGGGACCTTCGATGGAGCCCCTCTACGGGGCCACGAAACGTGCGAGGGGTGTGCCGAAATGGGTGTACGGGACGCATGCGGGTACACCCACTGGGGCCTTCGGTGGAGCTCCCTATGGGACCACGAAACGTGTGAGGGGTCACGAAACGCGTGAGGGGTGTGCCGAAATGGATATGCGGGACGCATGCGGGCACACCCACTGGGGCCTTCGGTGGAGCTCCCTATGGGGCCACGAAGCGTGTGAAGGGTATGCCGAAATGGGTGTGCGGGACGCATTCCCTATGGGGCCACGAAACGCGTGAGGGGTGTGCCGAAATGGGTGTGCGGGACGCATGCGGGCGGCAGCACTCTGGGGCCTTCGGTGGAAGCTCCCTATGGGGCCACGAAACGTGTGAGGGGTGTGCCGAAATGAATGTGCGGGACGCATGCGGGCGGCAGCACTGGGGCCTTCGGCGGAGCTCCCTTTGGGGCCACGAAACGTGTGAGGGTGTGCCGAATTGGGTGTGCGTGACGCATGCGGGCGGCAGCACTGGGGCCTTGGCGGAGCTCCCTATGGGGCCACGAAACGTGTGAGGGGTGTGCCGAATTGGGTGTGCGTGACGCATGCGGGCGGCAGCACTGGGGCCTTCGGTGGAGTTCCCTATGCCACGAAACGTTGAGGGGTGTGCCGAAATGGGTGTGTGACGCATGCGGGCGGCAGCACTGGGGCCTTCGGCGGAGCTCCCTATGGGGCCACGAAACGTGTGAGGGGTGTGCCGAATTGGGTGTGGGTGACGCATGCGGGCGGCAGCACTGGGCCTTCGGCGGAGCTCCTATGGGGCCACGAAACGTGTGAGGGGTGTGCCGAATTGGGTGTGGGTGACGCATGCGGGCGGCAGCACTGGGACCTTCGGTTGATCCCCTCTACGGGGCCACGAAACGTGCGAGGAGTGTGCCGAAATGTGTGTGCGGGACGCATGCGGGCGGCAGCACTGGGGCCTTCGGCGGAGCTCCCTATGGGGCCACGAAACGTGTGAGGGGTGTGCCGAATTGGGTGTGCGTGACGCATGCGGGCGGCAGCACTGGGGCCTTCGGCGGAGCTCCCTATGGGGCCACGAAACGTGTGAGGGGTGTGCCGAATTGGGTGTGGGTGACGCATGCGGGCGGCAGCACTGGGGCCTTCGGTGGAGCTCCCTATGGGGCCACGAAACGTGTGAGGGGTGTGCCGAAATGGGTGTGGGTGACGCATGCGGGCGGCAGCACTGGGGCCTTCGGTGGAGCTCCCTATGGGGCCACGAAACGTGTGAGGGGTGTGCCGAATTGGGTGTGCGTGACGCATGCGGGCGGCAGCACTGGGGCCTTCGGCGGAGCGCCCTATGGGGCCACGAAACGTGTGAGGGGTGTGCCGAATTGGGTGTGGGTGACGCATGCGGGCGGCAGCACTGGGGCCTTCGGCGGAGCTCCCTATGGGGCCACGAAACGTGTGAGGGGTGTGCCGAATTGGGTGTGGGTGACGCATGCGGGCGGCAGCACTGGGGCCTTCGGCGGAGCTCCTATGGGGCCACGAAACGTGTGAGGGGTGTGCCGAATTGGTGTGGGTGACGCATGCGGGCGGCAGCACTGGGGCCTTCGGCGGAGCTCCTATGGGGCCACGAAACGTGTGAGGGGTGTGCCGAATTGGTGGGGTGACGCATGCGGGCGGCAGCACTGGGGCCTTCGGCGGAGCTCCTATGGGGCCACGAAACGTGTGAGGGGTGTGCCGAATTGGCGTGGGTGACGCATGCGGGCGGCAGCACTGGGGCCTTCGGCGGCCTATGGGGCCACGAAGCGTGTGAGGGGTGTGCCGAATTGGGTTGGGTGACGCATGCGGGCGGCAGCACTGGGGCCTTCGGCGGAGCTCCTATGGGGCCACGAAACGTGTGAGGGGTGTGCCGAATTGGGTGTGGGTGACGCATGCGGGCGGCAGCACTGGGGCCTTCGGCGGAGCTCCTATGGGGCCACGAAACGTGTGAGGGGTGTGCCGAATTGGGTGTGGGTGACGCATGCGGGCGGCAGCACTGAGGCCTTCGGCGGAGCTCCTATGGGGCCACGAAACGTGTGAGGGGTGTGCCGAATTGGGTGTGGGTGACGCATGCGGGCGGCAGCACTGGGGCCTTCGGCGGAGCTCCTATGGGGCTACGAAACGTTGTACTGGGTGGGTGAAACGCAGGGAAGAGGGGTAGGAGGGAGGAGGAGGGGGAGGAGGAGGGGGGAGAGGAGGAAGGAGGCGGGAACGCGGGGCACCGTCTCTTCAAAACGAGGACCCAACACCACAGGATGGTTGGGAAATATGGGAAGTGGGGGGGAAGACGAAGATCCCACAAAATATGGGAATATATGGGGAATCCTTTTATTTGTGTGTATTTATTTGTGTGTCCTAGGGCCCCTTCATCTGTACGTGCATGTCCACGGCGTCTTGGTTTTTTCGGGAAGCGACGCCAAGAACCCAGATGCAGTGGATATGGATGAGATCTGGCCTCTCTGGAGGCTAGGCTAGACCTTTGTCCATATCCCCTGCGCCGCCGGCTTCCAGAGAGGTGGGCCCCAAACTCCCAGACGACGCAGTGGACAGGGACACTCTTAGGCTTCTTGGCTTCTTGTTAATCAACGGGGGCAGACGAGCGTGAAAACTTTCCGCGCCCCACCCCCCCGGCACCAACTCCTGAATCCGACACCCCCCCTCCGCACACGTTCGGACTCTCTCAGGCCAACCCCTCCTGCATGCTAACCCTGGAGGTGTGTGATCTCACCAGCCCCCTGAATGTCAAGACCCCCAGCACACAGCGAGGAAGGCCCCCCCCCCCCCCCCCCCCCCCCCCACGGACACGCCACGGCCCCCGCCGGCATTCAAAGGGGGGAGAGTACTACAGAGTGAGAGTATGAATCTTGCCCAGCACCAACACTGGGGGCTGCCTCCACCAGGGGAAGATGCTCCTAGATTCTGGTGTTCGTGGCAGGTCGGTCACGCAGAAGCCCGAAGTTATCACCACCCTCGCCGAGCTCGGGAGCACACTCTCTCGGCGCATGCGCACCGACGATGTCAGTGTCGGTGTCAGCTTCCAGGCCTTTGAGACGTTGACAAAAGCCCTGCCCGCGCCCGGCCCCTCCGCCCCTCGGGAGGGGAAAAACTCACCGACACATACATACAGTCCCCGATCCCCAGGAAAATATGTGGGAAAATAGGGGCAGTGGGGGGGAAGGACGAACCTCCAGGAAGTAGGATGAATGGATGGCATCCTGGGATCCGTGCCTGTTTACCTGCGTGTCCCTGGGCCCCCTCCGCCCCGCCCCCCTTCGTGCGCGCCGCCAGCAGCAGCCGCCGAGGGCTCCTCGGCGGGAGGCGGGCCGGCGCTGGAGAGCGGGCAGCTGCTGCGCATGGCGCCAGCGGGCCGGGCAGGGCGGCCGGCGGCCCGGGTTGGCTTTTCATGGGAGGCCGCCTTTTTGAGAGTCAATCCGAGGCGGGAATTTGTACATGACCACCGCCTGGAGGGTCAATTTTCGGAGCTTCGGCAGGCGGTGGACATGTTCGGGCCCCCGGGGGCCGAAATATGTCCACATCCACCGCCCGCTAGGGCACCAGGACGTCGGTTCCCAGGCGGTGGATATGGATAAGTCCCCGCTTCGCAGTCAAGGGAGGAAAAACCACCTGGACCCGATATATTGGCGTTTACGAAACGGCCCCGGGCGTTTACTGAACATCCTTGCCCTGTTCGATTCCTGCTGTGGCGCGTTCACTAGACGGCTTCGCGTGTCGGGGTGATTCTTCCCCACGTCTAAAGTAGGGTTCTTGCTTCCTCTGGTCACTCCTCGCAGGAACAGGATCGAAGGAACATCCCCTCTCTTCTCTCTCACGCACTCACACACTCACATCATCATCGCAGCATCAACACATCATCACTTACATATTCACGCACACTCACTCGACCACTCTAATTCATTTTCTCTGGACACCCCGCGCAGTCCTGTCACCTCACTCCCTCTCCTCCTGCCTTCACACGTTCACTCGCTCAATCACTCACGCACCATCATCATAACACCTTCAACTTCTTCTCCCTTCGCACACTCACTCACTGGCCTCATCATCATCTCAATCATCATCACCACCACCACCATCATCATCATCATCATCATCATCATCATCATCATCATCATCATCATCATCATCATCATCATCATCATCATCATCATCATCACTCGCCTGTGTCTCGTCTCGGGTGGGAGCCTCGTCTGTGAGTGAGTTGCGAGGAAGTCTCAGGTGGGAGCCCCCTCCTTATGGGGCCCGCATTTCATGTTCGAATCTAGGGCAGGTCATCGGCCACCTGTAACTTTCGTCACTTTTGGGCTCCTGATGCCTGAACATGGAGGAAGTATCAGGCGGGAGGCTCGTCTGTAAGTGAATTGCGAGGAAGCCTCAGGCGGGAGCCCCGTGTCTATGGGGCCCGCATTTCATGTTCAAA